CACAATACACCAGTTTAATTAAACAAATTTGTTAGATATGCTTCATAGCTGTGTGTCATATCACAGATTGCAATAATGACACCAAGTGGATTTAATATGGTCGCTAGGAGTTGCGTGTTGTACCAGATCAGAGCTCTGTGACCTACTCAGCACAGGATTAAGTGAACTCTTTATTTAGTTCTGCTGACGTTGAAGCGAATTATTGCACGGAATGTTCTGTTTATTTAATTCATCTAATGTTTATATTCGACGTACTTAATATATTCTAATAAATTAAAAATTCATCTTTCATCATTAAAAAAACTAATATAGTTAATTTGTTATTTAAAAACTCAGTAAATTAATTACGTTTTTTAATTTAATTTGTCAATCAAAATAGCATTGAAATCCCTATTGTTTGGCCTGCTGTTTTTTTTTACTGTATAATATTTTATGTTTATTATAGATTGTAGTCTTTTTTTTATTTCTACCGTTAGCATTGAGTAGTTTCGTTCAGAAATTCCAGATTTAAAGCTCCAACAATACAGAGGTATTCAAACTCTGAAACAAATTTCACTCCGCAATGATATTCAGTACTATGGCACGCCCTTCTTCATCGGGCTCAAGGGCTATAGTCTATTTTAGGCAGATACCTAGCTGTATGCCTGGCATTAAGTCAGGTCAGTCACTTATTCAACAGCAAATTAACAAAAAAAGTCTTGAAATTTAAAATATATTTTATTATCATTCGGGTCATCGTGCACCCTTACGGGACAAGGGATAGGTCTCGGAGTGAACCCTTCTAACATGGTATTTTATGATTCTTAATACGCAATTTTCTGATCTCACACCACTGTCGGTATTATCTTATTAACGTAATGTGCTCTTAACCCACATCAAGATAAGTACAGAACACTTACCAAACCGTTTATTTAAGTTTTCCTCATTCAAGGAGCTTCTGATAATAAGGTTAGAAGCCACACATACTTGTTGAATTGGAAACAAGTATAGGCTTTCCGTTCCTTATAGGGGGAAACCACTTATTATAATATCATATTTAAAATAATTTAATAACTTCTATTTACTTTGATTGCCTATTTCTAAATCATGTAATGTTTATTTTCAGCACGTTAAGCCCTAAGCTCCTTTGCACTCAACTAAAACGATAATAAATCACCAGAATCTATGATCAGGGGACTAAAATTCAATTTTCATGATTCCATTTCCAATAAATTTGAACGATCATTTTTTAACGTGGTAGACTAGACGATGTATTTCGTTATAGAAAACAGACTAACGAAAAAAAACACGCGTAGCTTTTAAAACTAGCAGAGTGACGACACTGGAAGGGTACGCAATAGTAATTTTAACGTTGGAATGCAAGCGGCATTACAACAACCTTATTATAATTTACCGCATTTTATATCAATGAGTTTCGTCAACCTAATTATAGCATTTTTTTCAAATGGAATTCAGTAATATCGCATACCTTGTTATATCGGATTATGGTTAACAGATTGTGATCTTTTTGTGGTATTCAGTGATTACGGGAGTCTATAAATACTGTCAACATAAAAGTTGCCGTCCATCGTTAGACTTTTTTTCTACCTAGTCTGTTAGCCTTAGAGGGCTTTTTTTTTTTTTTTTAACTCTGGGGAATCCATTTACGGATACCCGGTCGAGGGGGGTAGCGGACCGGGTTATGTCGGACTCCGGCGCCACCTGAGAGGAAGAAGGGGAGAAGAGAAGGGCCGAGGTCCTTCACCTCCCCCAATTTCTCACAGGAGACTACGCCTTGAAAAAGGCGCGCGAAGCACTTGCCCCGCAGAACGACTACCGACTAAACCCCATCGAGCCCCACCACTCCGACTCCACGAAACCCCCGGTACCGCACAGTGCGCGCCGAAGGCTCGCCGTCGCCGGTACCCATCCTGTTAATAGGACGACACTCCATCCCTGAGAAAATCCCGCAGGACGTCGTCTCGGAGACCCACCGTGAGCGGTGCACAGGAGCCACCTTGCGCCGCCTCACCACCGGACCAACAGCCGAGTACCGGGCACCCCCGCACCCGGCACCCGACAGCCCCTACGGGAGATGAACGGGAGCTTCACGCCCGTGCCGCCCACTCCGCCTTCTTCGCTGAGAAGCCGAAGAGGGATCCCACTCCCTTTCGCGCTCCTCAGCCTCACGGAACGCCATGACCAGGTCGCAAAACCTGGTCATGGCCTCCCAAGAATTCTGGTCCTCTAGCATGCGGGCGATGACAGCCCGCAAGGAGAGGTCTCTCCCCAGCACCGCGATGAGATCTCGCCGCGAGCGCTCCCAACGCGGGCACGCTTCGAGTGCGTGCTGAGCGTCATCGTCCGGATGCCCACACTGGTGGCAACCCGGATGTGGCTCTCTCCTGCAGACCTTCCACTGGTACCTTCCGAAGCAACCATGCCCCGAGAGGACCTGCGTTAGGTGGAAGGAGAGCACGCCGTGTCGTCTATCTGACCATGCCTCCAGCACGGGCACCAGGGCCTCGAGGGTGCGTCGGCGAGTGACTGAAGTTTGGCCAAGCTCCTCCAGCAACCGCTCCCTCTACTTGGCGTACGCCAGATGACGCGCAGCACGCCTCCACCGACCGACAGCCGACGGGCCGGGCGTCCGTCCCCGACTCAGGGACTGTGTTCTGCGCCGGTATACCGCAGCTGCTACCTCAGCCTCGAGATCCCAAGGAAGGGAACCGGCGAGGGCGCAGGCGACCTCCCGAGAGATCGTACGGTACCCCCTGATGACCTTCACCGCGAGTACCCGCTGCGCTCGTAGCAGCAAAGCTGCATTGCGCGCAGAGAGTGCGGGCGACCACACGGGAGCGCCGTACAAAGCCATACTGCGGACGACCCCCAGGTACAAACGCCGGACGCCGGCGCTGCAACCACCGACATTGGGGAGAAGACGGGCTAGTGCACCCGCCATCCCCAGCAGCTTCGGGACTAACTCACCAAAGTGGTGGTCGAAGCGCCATCGACTGTCCAGCACAAGGCCCAAATATTTGAGCTTCGGCTGGACAGCGATCGATACTCCGCCGACTATGAGATTCGCTCCCAGAGGAGGTCCCCTTCGGACTGGGTGAAAGCACACCGCTTCGGACTTGCGGAGGGCCACCTCAAGACCTAATCTCCGAATGCGACTAACGACGGTGGAGACCGCCGCCGTCGCAAGGATCGCTGCGGCTCTGTAGTCAGCTCCGCGGGCCGTTACCAGCGTGTCGTCGGCATAGCACACTACGTCGACGCCACGCAGGCTAGCACCGCGCAGGACCCAGTCGAAACCGATGTCCCACAGGAGTGGTCCCAGTACCGACCCCTGCGGGACCCCGCACGACACCACTTTCCGTCCCCACCCCCTCCTCTCGGGGAAGACCACATTTCGCCCTGAGAGGTAATCCTCTATCAGGGTGCGGAGACTAGGGGGGACGCAGTGAAACCGGAGCGATTCCACGATCGTGCTCCAAGGGATCGTGTTGAAGGCGTTGGCGATATCAATCGACACAGCCAACAACACGCCTCCCTCGGAGCACGCACGATCGGAGAGGTGGCGGACGCGCAAGACCGCGTCCATGGTGGAGCGACCTCTCCGGAAACCATATTGGTTAGGAGCCAGGTCAGGCCCAACGCTTTCGAGGTGCTGGACGAGGCGACTGGCGACGATGCGCTCGAGGAGCTTACCCGCCTCGTCCAGCACGACGATTGGGCGGTACCCGCTTGGCTCGTCACGTGCCGGCCTTCCTTAGGAACAAGGACAAGCCGACCAGTCTTCCATGGCTCTGGGAACCTGCCCTCACGGAGGCACCTGCTGAATAGCCCTTGGAGTGCAGGCCCCAAGCCGTCACCTGTCAAGGCGAGCGCCCACGCTTGGGACGAGATCCCATCAGGACCGGGTGCCGTGCGCTTAGCCCGCATCCTCTGCACAGCCAAATCGAACTCTACCTGGGAGACGTCCTCAAGCTCTTCGCTATCAGCAATCCGCGCCATTGTCATCACAGGGGGGACGAAGGCCGTCCCGGATAAATCGGGAAACAGACCCCCGACTACCCGCTGCAATGTTTCCGGCGGCAGGGTGCTGGTTGCGGGAGGAGCCCAACGGCGAAGCGCATTACGCGCCAGCCTGTAGGGCCGCCCCCACGGGTCACGGTCCAGCGAGGCCAGTAGGTCGTTCCAGGCGGCCTCCTTCGCCTCCCCGATAGCCAAGCGCAGGGTTCTTATCGCCGTCCTNAGAAACTCAGTGGGCTGTGTCTATGGGTTAATTTACTCGTCGAGCCCTTCGTCACAAGCGACGGGTCGGACGGTGACCGGTGTTTGTGGTACCTAAAAGCACCGTTAATGAATCGGGAGGATCCGTAATGACGTGTATATGGCGACGTTTAGTCCTAATCACATACATACATTGATGTATCTGACATTAATGCCATTTCAACATCATTATTTTTCATTATTTTTTATTATTTATTTTATTGTATTTTTTGACTTGTTTTTTCGTTTATTTGTAAATATTTTTAATAATTAAAAAAAAAAAAATGAAAATAAAACAAAATAAAAAAGCCCGCTGAGTTTGTTTTGCCGGTTCTTCTCAGGACTGTGGCTTTTTTTCGGAACCGGTGGTAGAGTTACCATTGTTATTTATATTTTGACATTCAACAAGTGTGTTATACTGACATCTAAGTTGAAATAAATGATTTTGAATTTGATCTTCGTGGTAGGACCTCCTGTGAGTCCGCACGGGTAGGTACCACCGCCCCGCTTATTTCTGCCGTGAAGCAGTAATGCGTTTCGGTTTGAAGGGTGGGGCAGCCGTTGTAACTATACTAAGACCTTAGAACTTATATCTCAAGGTGTGTGGTGCATTTACGTTGTAGATATCTATGGGTTCCAGTAACCACTGAACACCAGGTGGGCTGTGAGCTCGTCCACACACATAGGCAATAAAAAAATTCAAAATATATAAATTAACGTATTCTCTGCTTTGTTCCAGATTAGGGTTTATATAACTCCAACGACGAAAACGATTCGAGCTTCGTGCTGCAGAAACTCTCAGCCCCTCGAAATATTGTATAGAATCGCTCGGTGACTGCCAGGCATTGACACATCACTGCACTGCTCTTGTATGATAAACGTCTTAGAAATAAAAGATTAAAAAAAAAAAAACGAAAAAATAATATAATACGAACTAACGCCCTCTCGGTGGCCACGAAGAGGGATATTTATTATACTTTATTATTATTATATATGCATATATAAATCGGAGAAAAGTGATCTCTAAAGTGACGTCACAATATTAATTGAATTGTGATCTTGTTAATTAGTTAGCCGTGTCGCATTTCGTATTGCCCGTATTTATTGTAGTTAATATTCTTTTATTATCGTTGTAAATATCAACAATATTTATATGTTACATGTGACATCGCGTTATACTATAATACTAGTCATCGATCTAGTGTGTGTTTATTGTAAAATCATAATTTAATTGTTACTAAAAGAAATAATTAACGAAAACTTCGGTCGAGTGCACTGAAGGCAAGAAGGGAATTCGTGTTTGAGAGCAAGTTACGTAACTGTCAAGATGCAGACTCAATTAGGATCTGGCAACGATCTGCAGAGGAGCTACAGGATCCAGGACTTCGCCACGCCTGGCGTCATCATGAGGGAGCGGAGCTTCGTACGCCCTCAGTCGCATCACAACATGCATCATCACCAGGTAAACAGACTCAATAGAACGCAGCTTAATAAGTATTTTCTTTGGTTTTCAGCAATCGTAGATATAATTAAAGCTGTTAAGGAACGCCAAATTAAATCGTAAAAATAAGCATAATTGTGTAGTTTAATTGTTTTATTTTGTTCTGAATTTTAGTGGTGGTAGGACCTGTTGTGAGTCTGCGCGGGGAGGTACCACCACTCTGCCTGTTTCTGCCGTGAAGCAGTAATGCGTTTCGGTTTGAAGAGTGGGGCAGCCGTTGTAACTATACTTGAGACCTTAGAACTTATATCTCAAGGTGGATGGCGCGTTTACGTCGTAGATGGCTATGGGCTCCGTCCCACCTGGTGTTAAGTAGTTACTGAAGCCCATAGACATCTACAACATAAATGCGCCATCCACCTTGAGATATAAGTTCTAAGGTCTGAGTATAGTTACAACGGCTCGACTAGGTTCGAGAGAAAAGCTAACAAAACCTTCAACACATTAATTACTACAACTAATGTTGATACGATTATATACTGTAATAAAACTGCATGTTTTGCCAGGAAAACCTATTGCAATGCCTAATGCTTATAATAGAATAGAGTTATTAATATTTTTACTTTGTCTTGCGTTCAAACTGGATTTCACCGGTTTCAGTCGCGCCCTTGTGCATTTGACTATCGGCAAATATTCTGCTACAACATTCAATGTTTAAAATACAAGTGAGCGGCAATTGAATGCATCATTTATTTATGCACCAATTATTTTTACGATTAATAAATTAGATGAGCTGTTTTTCTTCAAATTTAGACTCTTCTCTCCCTGTTCAGAATAATTTTCAACGGCAAAGTCAAGAATTGTATAACAATTTGAATTTCATTAAACATTAGTTCAATAATATGTGTTCCTTAAAAATGGACATTATTTTTTAATTATTACCTTTTAAACTTTAATAAGATATAATTAGATTTATGCGTTCGTTCAATAGTGCGCGAACAAACAAAACAGAAGAGACAGTAAAGTCGGTCATTAGTTTTTGGTCAATCACTGTTCTTTAATTAGCCCCTTTGTATTATTTACCATTCTTCATTGTAATTAGCCTAGCATTGTATCTAGCCGTAGTCTTTACTCCACGACACCTGCTTATAGTGTAAGTACTGTCTGTCATACCCGATCCTGTAGACCGAATGGTATTTTTTTTTATTGCTTAGATGGGTGGACGAACTCATAGCCTGGTGTTAAGTGGTTACTGGAGCCCATGGCCATCTACAACGTAAATGCGCCACCCACCTTGAGATATAAGTTCTAAGATATCAGTATAGTTACAACGGCTGCGTCGGCTGCCCCACCCTTCAAACCGAAACGCATTACTACTTCACGGCAGAAATAGGCAGGGCGGTGGTACCTATCCGCGCGGACTCACTAGAGGTCCTGCCACCAGTATGGTAAACAGTCGACGTCGCCCTAAATACGTCATTACAGATCCTCCCGATCCATTAACGGTGTTAGCGAACCCGTCGCTTGCGACGAAGGGCTCGACGAATGAATTAACCCATAGACACAGCCCACTGAGTTTCTTGCCGGATCTTCTCAGTGGGCCGCGTTTCCGATCCGGTGGTAGATTCTGCGAAGCACTACTCTTGCTAGGGCCAGTGTTAGCAACACTCCCGGTTTGAGCCCCATGAGCTCACCTACACGCCAAGGAGAAGCTGAAATAGCCTCTCAAGGCTATCAGCATAGATAGGTAAAAAAAAGTACAGATAACATAAAGCTTTCATTGTGATCCTCATTGAACAACTTCGATCAGCAAAAGTGCTATTGTTGATCGAAGTTGTACAAACACACCCGTTTTTACTGGTTTTTTATATGTATTGATAAAAACATGAATGTTTTACATTGCACGCTCTTGTTCTCTGAAGTTTTCATTTTCATGGACGATTCTTTCGCAACCGTTAGACCGTAGCTGAAGTTGAGTAATTAATTACGTTATTCGTTCGAAAATGTTTTTGCTGCATATCAAAGCGATGCAAAATATGAATACTCAAAACCTATATTGACTTTACAACATACTCTTTGTTGACAAATATCAAATATATATTTGTTTTGGATATGTGGGCGACTACCGCACCCACAACCGAAACACGTAATCTAAGACCTTTTGAATGATTTGCGAAACGGTAAATTTTCAGGTATGGCTCAATTTTGTAATTTAATCTCTGGAAGTTTTTGTTATACCTTAGAATTTTCTTGGTGTCAGACTATTGGAAGTACATTTTGTCGTGTCATCAAAGACTTCGTGAGAATGCTGGGTCACGTCAGATGTAGGTAGCAACAAACCGGTCACACTGGACATCAATTGGAAAGGTCTATGTTCAGTAGTGGACAGTGGACAGTCTGAGATGTTGATGATGATGCTCTACGAAGACTGAAGAACATACGATACAGATCGCGTAGATTAATCATACTATAATATCATCAGGGAAATGCGCATCGGCACTTATATGGTCGTGCGTTCGTCCAAAAGAGCTATGTCTCGTTGTGCGTTGGATATAACTTTTAGTTTTTGTGTATGGCAATCGGATTTTGACTGGATTTATTAGTGACGTTTCCTAATCTAAGGATGTCTGGTATATAGACTATTGACACCTTGGCTGTGACAAATAAAATCATAAACCTTCATCTCGTGCGGCGGCGGGTCGAAATGCGCCCCCGACGATATTTCTATCAGTGCGTGGTCTTTCTCGAACCACCAGCACTAGGGTAGATTAAAATGCTAGAAGTTTTCCGAAAACATACTTTGTACGATTTGTAGTATATTTGTAGTAGTTGTCGGTGTCGAACTCTGAACAAACACCTGAAATAACCGGTCCGCACTAGTGACAGGGACGTGGTTTTTTTTTTATCCCCACCAGCTGAAAGTATCGCGGCGGGCCGATGTGTGTATGTCCAGCAGTGAAGATGTGGTACTTACGAATCGAAAGATGTTACTACCCTCGTAGTCAGTGTGCTTAGTGCAAGCTGTGGTGCACGTTTCTTAACTCGATAGCGTAAAAGTTAAGCCAATTTTGTATGCAATTGGAATAGCGCCCCTAGCGGCAAACGTACGCAAACGATCCCATTCCATACAAATATGAGCTAACTTTTACGCTATCGAGAACGTTAAAAAACTCGCACTAAGCACACAGATCAAAACAGATCGCTGTGTAATTCAGAATAAAGTTTCAAATACATTTTAGATGAATGTTGAAAGTTTTTAAAGTATGTATTTGAGCAGATACCGGTGAGTCATGAGATGGGTCATACAAATTTTATGCTACAAAGTCAAGAAGATTCCTCACAGATTCACACGATACATATTACTCACTTTTTGTCGATGAAATATTTGATTGCGCTACTGAGCTTAAAATAAACGATGACAGCTCATTAAGTCACCTTATTTGTTGGAAGCATTTCTAGTAAAATATATGCGTTTTTCTTTGTGTATGTACATCTTTTTACAAAGTAATTCGAAATACCAACTTAATGAATCGCTGTAGTAATATGGAATGTATAAGTAAATATGTGCGCTTGTGACAGCTGACATTTCAATTGTTGTCAGACAGTAGATCAAAATTTTTATATCTAATGTTGCCGTTTCTAAAACCTATAGTCCATAGCCTATATAGCCCTACATACTTATTTTATAGACTATATAGTATACTTGTAGATAATTTTACTAATTATTCGGAAGTTTAGTTTTGTAAATGTACTCACCGTCCAACAAAATCCATTTAGAAATTTTGACTTTTATACACTATAGTACATCATTACTAGACTGCACTGGTTCCACCAGCCTGATGATGTTCTGCCACGAAGTTCTCCAGCCTTCTTTCTTAGTACTTATTGCTTCCTACTTAGTGATTGAATAGCCGTCATCATAATATCTGTAACTCAGACCTCATCCTAAAGACTGCTGATATTTACTTTGTGCATTATTTAGGATCCAGTAACAACCCAATCAAGTCGCATGGATTTACTTTTCATCAGGCCAGATTAAAAGAGCATAAATTATAATAAGAGCACCAGATAAAAGGCAGTTCATCTTACATATTGTCTATATTTATAGATTAAATAAGTCCGTTTCTTTTGACAGTTTTCAAATAATGGGAAACGACGGAGTATGATCCTCACCAACGCAAAGGGAAAACCGACTCTAGAAATCTACAGACCACCAGGTAATTGACCAAAAAGACTGAATTAATTTTAAAATCAAAAACTACAAAGTAATGATACCTATTGATAATTATAAAACTATAAACAAGTAAATTGTTCTCATAAATCTCATTGTTTTGTTTCCCAACAAGTAATATTACGATAACAATTATATTTCCCAAAAATTTACCTACTTTTCAAGGTAAAATACGTAGAGTTTTAATCGTGTCAATTTGAATTTAAATACCTAATTTTTTTTAAACTATTTTTTGTGTATTTTCTGAAACACGCATTCTATTTGCTTAAAACATGATCCTTTTTTCATTTTCATTATATCTTGCACATTAATCCATTATATACTAGTTAATTTAAGTACCACGTTATATTTTCTGTCGCGAAGCAGTCATGTGTTCCGGTGTGAAGGGTGAGGCAGTCATCAATTAAGACTCCAACAGAATGTCTGAACACGACGTCCACGGTCGCTCGTTCATAAAATACGTAAATAAATACACTAAGTACCCAATTATAAGGTTCATTACATTTAATTTTACAAGCAGAACTATATTATGTTATTATGTAAAATAATGAAATAAAAAGGCAGTACATAAATATGTAATCTTTTAAATAGATATAGGATCTTTTTGTATAAATTGCGATCTCTTTTTACGAATTGGCCGGCAAACGTCATAACGTAAATTTGGCGCCAAAATTAAAAATAAACAAAATCTCGTATTTGGAACGGCACGCACGACAGTCTGATGTTTGCGACGTTTGTTGAAAGTCAGATTTTCTGAATTTTCTGTGGATAATAGAAAATTATTTTATTGTCGTAATGTCTCGTTGTATTGTGAAGCAGTCGTTAGCTCAGCCCGTGGTCGCGCCCGGGGGTCAGGTTACGCCGGTGTCGGTTACACAAGTGTCCGTGAGTTCGGTGTCTGTGACGTTACCTTCGGTTCCACCAGTTTGCGATGCTTCAGGTTTGAGACATTTGCTCTTATTAAAACGAATACTCTAAATTTAAAGTATCATTAGAATAACAAGCATAGATTTCAAGTAGATTACTATATAAACAGATGGCATAATATTATATAGGCTGCCTCTAATATAACTAAGATCTCTGTAAAGTGTACGTATTACATTTTACTGAAATAATTAGTGTATTACTGCGTTCACATTCCGTGAAATCACAATCCTTCGTAAAGGTAGCTTTTAGCTGCATCAGCTCGGCAAAGTGCTCCTCCCATCCCGTAATAATAATCGTCCGTCTTTTAAATGTGAGCATTATAAAACACTTCACTTAACGTGTAAGTTTTATTGCGAAAAACAGGACATTCAACAATAACAAACAATTTCATAGGAACGTATTGATCAGTTTGGGTCAGATATTCATCGAAGTGGGCATTTTATCGATTTTCCTCACTAATTCCAATTCATATATTATAATTATTTTTTTGGATTAAATAAATCATTTTTTTAAGAGTTCCGCCTTTTCCTTTCTAACATTTAAAAGGGATGTAACGGAGCGCTTACAATAAATTACAGAAATACAATAAGTAATTCATGAAAGTTTTTCTTCTTACTCAACACAGCGAGACCCTTGTTATACAAGCCCAAGCGTTTTAATATAAATAACGCCATTTGTATTGCTTCTTCATGGCCTTATTGTACTGTGTGAGGTCGACGCAGTATGTATACCTCGCCCGATGACGCTGATATGGTCTCTTAAGACAATCAGCTAAGGTAGAAAAAAAAACATGCCCCATTTTCCATTCAAGGCCTACCATACGTCATCTCTGCACTCACTCCCTTCACCCGCATATGCTCTTTAGCACAGTCAGTCCAAGTCTTTAGAAAACCCCAGTTAGTATTGCTATCGATTATAACGGGTAACATAAAAACTAGTTAGGTTGAAGTGAGATATTAGAATGGGTCTTTGGAGGAACAGTTTAGCTGTACCCGGCTCGATAGTCTGATACGCACGGGTCGTCACAAAGTCTCCCGATTACGTCTACTCAAAGGTAAACCTTGACAAAATTTTTAAAATATTAAAATCAAGTGGGCCATTAGGCTTTGAAATAGTAGTGATTAGGATTGGGGATTGAATAAATAAATAAATAATAAATATTTACTAACAATCACGCCACGTTAACTGGTCCCGTATTAGGCTCGTAAAGAACTTGTATTATAGGTAACAGGCAACGGAAATAAATGTAAGATTTTTATTATACACATACATATTATTATATTTAATATACATCCATAGCCCTGGAAAAGACATTTTATATTTATCATACAAATATCTTCCTTTGGCGGGATACGAACCCGCGACCCCCTTGTGTAGTGACCATGTCACTTCCCACTACACCAGACGGACGTTAAAAAAGAATAGTATCATCTCAAGCATCATTGTGCGCACCTCGGCGTTGGAACATCTCCTGTGCTTCCGATTGCACAGGCGGTAAAAGCACGTACGGGTTATTTCCGAGAAAATATGATGTTTCATTTGTCAAACTACATATTTATTATTAATAAAACATACTTCATATTAAAAAAATTATCACTGAAACGGTCAGTCATAAATAAAAATGTACACTATTTTGCGAATTATATATTTTGTTTGCATCATGTAATCGAAATTACTAGTTTTTAAACTAGCATATTGTTCGTTTAAGAAGGAAATGCGTTTTTAATCACGTAATGAAAATGTGTTTATTATTACGCAAAACTATGTATACAAGTCGATTAGCTATTTCCTTACAATATTGCAAAAATGATTGTGATTAATTTACAACTGACGCAACTGATGGTTATAGTAATTTTTATTGGTCATTTTTCTAATTCACTTTGAATTTTATCGGAATCCCTTTCAACCACGTAGTATTTTTTTTATTGGCTTTGTAGGCAGACGAGCATAAGGTCCACCTGATGGTGAGTGATCACCGTCACTCATAGACGTTATTAATGGCAGGGGCAGAACCAAGTCGCTGCCTACCGCTTAATACTCTCCACAAGCATCGTTTGAAGAAGGACATGTCATAGCGCTCGGGAAACACCGTGGAGGTGAGTTTATTCCATAGCCGGAAGTCTAATGAAGAGGCTAGTTCTTAATGAGTAAAATGTAGTCAGCCTCAGAGGCATTTTTGGTTGGTGTTGCTACGTGCTTATTGTCAAACTTCTGAAAATAAAACACGTTTGAAACTCCAGCGTTGTTGTGTGCAACACGATTTCCAGCTGAATAAATCTGTATTTTGAGATATGTCGTGATCGTATCTGGCAATGTTCCATCATTATTCATTCATTTGAACCTCGTGCTCGTAGCTGTCACTTCCGGCGATGATGACGCGCCATCGTGTACCGAAAGCCTTTTTATGACGACGTTTGCGATAGATGAATTTAGAAATTATTGAAATTTATCAAGGATGAATCATTATTTACGTTGTAGATGTATATGGGCTCCAGTAACCACTTAACACCAGGTGGGCTGTGAGCTCGTCCACCCATCTATGCAATAAATAAAAAAATCCAGACATTGTCATTCTTGCTTTTGCCTTTCAAATACCTATTTCCTAATATATCCTCTTATTCATTACAACCATACCCATATTCCAACTTCATCATTATATTTATTTGAATCATGAACACTTTAGCAGACGCACATCACTAGTAGTATCATTCTATCGATCTTTCCTATCACCCTCTTCTCTTGACGAGCCGCGTTGACCGCCAGGTGTCCGCACAGACGGCGTGGTGTCAACGAACGCTGGTGCCGCCTGTACGACCACCACGGCGGCCGGCAGTGGTGCTGCGGCCACCAACAAGCTGAATGTGCACGCAAAGGAGTTCACAATGGCGAAACCGATTGACCTACACAACAGGTAAGTTAGATTATTACCATAGCTGGCGTTACACTTGTGATTTAATAAATAGTAGTTTAAAAAAACTAACAAAATACGCTTTTATAGAAAATCAACTACAAAATAGAAAATAAATTTGAATTATAATAAAAATAATGTAAGAAAAAATGATTTTATTGTAAAAAAGCGTGGTCTGCTTTTCAGGATATTATCAAAATAACTCTTCTACTTATATCTGTTCATAAAATATTTATAACTACTGATACCATGCACCCCACGCTTTTTTACAATAAAGTAGTTTTTTCTTACACTATTTTTAATTCAAATTTATTTTCTATTTCTTAGTTGGATTTTCTATAAAAGTGTATTTTGTTAGTTTTTTTAAACTATTATTTATTTTTCATTTTTAGCTGAATTTCAAATTTTTTAATTTTTTTTTATTATTGTATTGTCATCGATCCTTAATAAGTATACCAAATTTAGAGTTAATCCGACGTTTTGAAGGGGGTCAAAATCATGTTCAAAGATTCCGTTACATACTAACATACGAACGTCTGAAGCTAATTCAGAAAGCGTATTAAAAAGTATTTGTGTCGTAGTTTTGAATTTGACAGTTTTGTAGTTTGTGTCGTTGTCGTGGCCTAAAGGATAAGACGTCCGCTGAATTCGTATGTAGCGATGCACCGGTGTTCGAAACCCATCGGCAGGTACCAATTTTTCCAATGAATTTGAAGGGTGGGGCAGCCGTTGTAACTATACTGAGACCTTAAAACTCATATCTCAAGGTGGGTGATGGCATTTACGTTGTAGATGTCTATGGGCTCCGGTAACCACTTAACACCAGGTGAGCTGTGAGCTCGTCCGATCTATGCAATAAAAATATATATAAATTAAACTTTACTACTGCGGGTCATTTGACTCATAGAAGACATTTAAACTGTATACTTAGCTATTAAGCCCAGCCTAATAAGAATTAATGGGTATACCATGTATGTATATGGCATGGGTTGGAGTGCGGTCGTTTGGTCGGTGTGCAACGTTTATAGCGCCCACTCCATTTGTGATGTAATGCTCTCGGCGGTCAGTTCGTGCTTCGTCATCCATTGGCTTATTTCCCTTTTAGCGGACGGGACACTGTGAAACCTTGACTTTGAGTACTTGAAGAATGAACTCGTCTAGCTATTATTTAGGCAAATTGAAAACATCGTGCAAACACATTCGACGTAATTACATAGTTTTGTTTCTATTCGTCTGATGAGATTAATCAAGATTGAACGTCTTAAATGAATGAGTAATTTTTGATGTTTTTCATGTTTCTGACCTTGCACGGATAGTTGTTTCTCATCTGCTTTAGTAACAACGTAACGAGCTGTGATGGTTGCCGTTGGCCGAGATCCAATTGAGGCATAACAAAAATCGCATGGACGATGTGCGAAGCTGTGATGTCTGTTGAGCGTAGGTGGGTGCGTCGCGTCGTCGCGAACGTAGTATCAATTGTATAGTTTTTGTTATCACTTTGTTGTCGAGAGTGGCGCGGCTCTGACGCGATTACGCCCGCGCAATCGAAGCGGGCCGCAGAACGCCAGTCCGCGCACACGCCGGGAGACGCGCGGAGTTCTCGCGACCGCGACCAAACCAACACGAACAAACAATCGAACGCCTTCGAACGAACCTCAAAACTACCTCTCGCATCGCTGCCTGCGAATCTCTAGGCAAGAGCATTGACCACCGACCGACGCCTGATCACAAGCTATATCTGCCCTCTGGGAATCCTCAATCGAGGCTGCTTGCCGGATATACGGGCTATTTATAAAATTCCGCCGTCGAGAGAGAAATGAGACGTAATTTGTTGGTGGTTTTGCCAAGTTTGCACTGAGATTTGCAGCTTGATGATAGTGATAAACGCTGTAGCTAAAGTGTATATAAGGATTTATTTTAGAAGTGAAAGAGAGGTGCTATTTAGCGATCTAGTGAATTCGAGAAGTTAAACTAATTTATTGAAAATGGTGCGAGGACGTTATTCTACTTCTGATGTGTGAGTATACGTGAGATAATCATTAATTGTACATAAAAATTAAACAATGATAATGTTAAATTATTTTGATTTGACTTTTTGTTAATAAAAAAAGCTTGTTAGTTCAATAATAAAGCAACAACCATTACGCAAAATAACAATGATATAAATAGATTAATTTAATATATAAGTGAATCAATTTTATCCATGAGTCAGGCTGAAAATTTACCAACATATCTATTCTTATACACGCAAATGCAATAATAAATAATATGATTGATAAAATACAAACCAATTAAAATACTTGAAATTGTTAACTAGGTACAATATAAATTTTAGAACTAATTTCAAATCTATCGACAATTTTAGACATAAACATTGCATTTAAGATAAATCTAAGAAGCACTGACCATTGATACAATATAGCATATCTTTAAACTATAATACACTGGGCGACAAAAATCATACAGATTCCATTGTGAAATTATTTGCAGCGCATGAAACAATTTGAGGCATTCGTGTATTAAGTTGATCTGTTGTCATGTTAGTCATTTCCTCATTGTCTTCACTGAGGATGTCGACCTCTTAAAGTGATACTTCATGCAGAAGCTTTGTTGATTCTAATAATGGAAGATTCCATACTTGAAACAAGCGGAAGGTTTAATAATTATAGCACTTCTCACGTATGAATAGAGCAATCTTAAACTAATAAAGCATAAAATTTCGAATTGCATAGATAAGTCAAACGATTTCAGTCACGTGTTTGAGTACTGTAGATTGTATACTCAAACAGCAATAATTCGTTGTTAGTTATATTTAAGACAACTAGAGGTCCCGCAATAGTCGAAATTCGACTATAATAATTGGAATTGTAAGTTTGTACACTATTATGATTGTATTTTATACTTCTATAATCACAAATTTCACCAAGGCTACTCTATAAAAAATATTAATAAAGACAAACAATATTTAATTTTAATCTATTCTCAATTTGACCACAGACGTCAAGAACAAAAGTTTGACAATAAATAGTATGCATGCGTGTGTGTGTCAAATACATGGTATGTAATGTGTAATGTTTTCTTTATTGATTCAATGTATCTTTTATACATTATTTAAAAAAAAAATTAGCATTGTGCACTTCTTCTCTTAATTCTCTATAAGTCTGAAAGTTTTCATACTCCTCCGTCCGCGCAATTTTCGTGAAAAGGGATACAAAGTTTTTGCTTCACGTATTAATATGTAGATTATGAAAAAATATATAAAAATTTGTGTGTTTATGTCTACATACGTATTGTGTTTAATGTTAATGTGTTCGACTTCTGAATGTGTTTGCACGTCGTGCATCCGAATCGGTTGAAAATTTGTACAAGTGTTGGTAATTGCGTGAAAGTTTCTGATATGGTACCGTCATTGTGCATTACTTATTGCTGGAGTCAGTTCAATAATAATCATCATCATCATAGTCGGTTATTCTTGGCAGAGCAGTTGTGTTCATGTGGATTTCTTGTTTATTATAGCCTTGACAGATATTCTCCATAATTTGCGAACTGAGGCTTGGCGCACGCACTCGTTAAGCGGGGTTTTGGTAAGGTCTTTGACCTGATCAGTCCAGCGCATGCGGCTTCGTCGAGATCTTTTACCATTGACCCTACCTTGAACAACAAGTATAAATAAAGTAATAAAGCTTAAAGCGTCGGATAATTAGAATGCTATACTCTTTTTTTTCCTACCTACTCTAGTAACCTCGAGGGGTTATTCTAGATTCGCCGAGCTTGTAGGTGAGCTCACGGGACTCAAACCTGACGACATTGCTAACACGAACCCTAGCCAGAGCCGTGCTTCGCAGAATCTACCACCGGATCGGAAACGCGACCCACTGAGAAGATCCGTCGAGAAACTCAGTGGACTGTGTCTGAGGGTTAATTTACTCGTTGAGTCCTTCGTCGCAAGTGACAGGTTCGACGAGAACAATGACCAGTGCTTGAGGTACCTAAAAGCACCGTTAGTAGATCGGGAGGATCCGAAATGACATGAATGCAATGCTCTTTAAGCTATTCAGAGCTATAAAACGTAGGGCCATGATGACCCGATCATTGACCTTAATTCTCCTTAACTTCCCGAACAACTGGTGTAAATAGAAAAGACATGATAAAGCTAATAAACAAGAAGCTAATGTTGCAAGAACCTACATATTATATTAAGTAGATTGAATAAAATCGTAACTAGCCAGAGCGCTACATCGGTTACCGGTTATTAATAATTTGCGGTAAATCATTGTAGCACGTCTAGTAGTGGAAGCTAACGAAGCGTGTACAGTGAAACTGCTGAAATAACAGTCGACGTCACGAATCCAATGCGCTCCACGATAGCCCGGTGCGCTCAACGGTCACTGTCTTTCAAAATCTAGAAATTCTTTTTCAGCTTTCTAGTGAAAGTTGGCGTTGTTTGAATGAGATTTTAAAATTTGGGGATGGTCTTCTCTTGTAGATTGTGGAAATTGTTTATAGAATTGATCTCATGGTTTGGTTTATTTTAGATATTTACTTAATTGTACATTGTAATCCTACTTGTCAATAAGATATAGATGGTGGGAATATGCAATATATTTTATCTGAGATATAAATATAGATATTATAGTATAGTACATATTTATAATTTAAAACAATGGCCGCGTATGTATGCCTGTTTCGTTTTCAGTTCATTAACCTAGTTTGTAGAAAACTGCTGTCTCGTTTCAGTGTGGCGTCTTTTTGTATTTCCATCGGCTTTCCGGAGTTCATTAGATCCATTTTGTCTTGCCTTAACAGACTAAACAAAATCCTTTCAATTGTCGACGCGTGCGTCACACTGGTCTAAGTTTAGCGATGTGCGCTGTCGTACCGTCCAAGTTGGCAAGGTCACTTTGAATTTTGTTTTCCGTCTGGTAAATGAAAAATAAAGGTCTCCTACCTAAAATGTAAATACTGAAGGTAAACAAAACGATAATTTATTCGCAACGAGGGTCCCTCCTTTTGGGATGTTTGAAATGGTCAAAAAACTCTTTTTTTTTAAAGTTTTGTGGCCTGGTAACGAGTCCTTTAAGACAAGTCTTATTTTTTCTTATATTATGTTTTATGAAAAATGATGATATGAATAGAAATGAGATGAACTTGATTAATTTGAGACTTTAATCAATCAGGATAAAATCAAATATAACGAGATGAGATTACATAAATACATTACATAAAGTTTCAGAAAACCAGTGATTTTCAGTGGACTTTTTAGAAAAACTCAAATAGTTACGTCTAGCGGCTTGGTTCCCGCCAAAAATTCAACAATAAAAAATCTTGGGAATACATCAAAGTTTGTCAGAATAACTTGGGGGCTCTGTTAGAATAGTTTCAATAGAATATTGTAAGATCGAGGGAAGGAATATATTTTTATATATCTATACCCAATGTTTCCGAAATCAAATGTTATTATAGCTATGTAACAACTTTGAAGACGCCACAAGTGGCTTTACATTTTCAAACCGCTTGTAGTGATAGTGATATATAAGTAAGCGTAATAAAAAAGGTTGATTGGTATTTACGGGGGCCAATATAATCATGTTTTAATAGTATGAGGATACCTTATACAGGCGAAAATCTTTCAGTACATACTTAAAGTTTTCAGGACCTACTAAAAAAGATGATTTTTTTTTTCAAGCAACTTGTATTAGATTACGTGCATTTCACACACAGCGAATTTGAGATTTCACATTAACTCCACTATTATATATTTATTTCTATTTTTAATATAAATACTACATTTAAAAAGTCCCATGAATGTGCGAAACACAATGACAATTCGTACTTCATAAATTTTAATTTACATTTTTTTTACAATTTTATTTAACCATTCTTGAGACCTTAGAACTTATATCTATCTCAAGGTGGGTGGCGCATTTACATCGTAGATTTCTATTGGTTCCAGTAACCACTTAACACCAGGGTGGGCTGTGAACTCGTCCACCCATTCTGTTTCGAAAGCATTAAAAAATTTGAATGTCGATATGTTGGAGGGCCCTTGAGACTTGTAGATTATAACACTATTTTTATTTTACTTCTTAAAAGTAGACTGAGATTTTTGTATGACGTGAAAACTTATTGTAATATATATATATATATTGTAATAAATAATAGATTTTTTAACATAATAAACATTAAACTTGCTTATGTTAATACCGCAAAGTAGGTCACACGTTAACTGTCGACGTAAAGTTTGCACTAATGAAAAAAAGTGACAAGATAATTATAATGTACATTGGTAACAGTAATCATTTGTTATTGTTCTAGTAATAAGACTCCTTATCTGTGCTCTCGTTTAAAATTTTCATGTCTTCGGGTAAAGAATAAGGCAAACATGTTATTACCTAACATGCTAGATTTATTTCGGTTCTTAATGTATGTTGTTACTGTATATTTGTTCGTCAATTGTTTTTTTTTTCTGGTAATGGGCAGACAGACTAATATAGATTCAATTTGGTATTTGACGTAGCCCATTATAATTTTTTGGGTTGCGACTGAAATGCAAACTTACACTTGCGTTTTAGGAGACGGAGCTTCTCAATGCTGAACACACAAAGCCTCGCCCACCAAGTTTATCGCTGGATCTGGTCGCGATCCGGTGGTAGATTTTGCGAAGCACTGCCCTTACTAGGACTAGTGTTAGCAAATTCTCTCAGGTTGAGCCCATGAGCTCACTTACCCGTTCGGGCGTAGCTGTAATAGCCCCCTAGGCTACCAGCAAATAAAACAAAAAGCCCCGTATCATTTAACAATACGCTTTCAAGCCTCGAATGTAACAGAACTCAACTGAAGTGGGCAGAAGGCAAGATGACACGTTAATTGCGGAGCGCATCTCTCTGCTATCTAGCGTGACGCCGAACGGAATTAATACGTAGCTAAAATTCGGTAGCTAAAAATCCCTATCCTGGCTTTCGCTTCCAGTTAGTTGGTGCGGTGAGAAAAGAACATTCTCTCGAACGCCCCGCCGTCTGCTTCGGCAGGATGGTGGTTCGTAGAAGTTATTATAGCCCGCCACGAGTCATCACTATCAAGCATCACGCTGTATCACCTCGACATTTTGCGCGCTGGCCGATAGTTCGCTCAACCACCTCTAGTACGGACCTCTGAGGTTGGGCTTTTCACGCTCGAATGACACTGGACGTTACTCACGCTTCGAGCACGGAGATCAAGCCACCACTAATTAGCAGTGAATGTATTCGCCACCAGCATCCTGGGTCGCGTCCGCGTGAACACGCATAGCTTTTTAAAAGAGATAGTACGGTAATAGGAAATATAAGAAAATAGCCTAAGTATACTTTTTGTAATCGGAAGGCAGCGGCTTGGCAGTGGCCTTGCCATTACTAATATTCATAATCCACGGTAACCAACCACTCACAATCAAATGGACCGTTATACTCGTGTGCTTTAAAGAACAACAAAACCAATTAGCCCACGGTCACATACTCGTCTTTTCTTAAATATCGACACTGGCTATTACCTAGCTGGCTCTTATATAGCTTTGTATTTTGTTATTAAAGCGTGGGCCGCCCAATATCAATTGACAAGGTGAACAGACGACTTTACAGAAGAGTTCATCCATACTACCTGGAGCCACTGCGGTCATCCACAGTGCGTTTCCAGAGGTCTTTTTTGTCACGTACTATCCGGCTATGGAATGAGCTCCCCACCACGGTGTTTCCCGAGCGCTATGACATGTCCTTCTTTAAACGAGGCTTGTGGAGAGTATTAAGCGGTAGAGAGCGGCTTGGCTCTGCCCCTGGCATTGCTGAAGTCCATGGGCGACGGTAACCACTCACCATCAGGTGGGCCGTATGCCCGTCTGCCTACAAAGGCAATTAAAAAAAAAGCCACAACATCACAATCAGGACACGAACACACCAGATGTAGGCTGCTTCTGAAACTATTTGGAAAACGGCCCTCGGTTTACACTGATAAAAATAATTATTGATTACATTGATACTTGTAAGTCCCAGAATAACTTGACTCTTGATTTAGATCACGATCCCACGTATGTTGCACTTAATTCAAATACGGCCCAGGCCAGTTTGGAGTTTTAAAAAGTTGGTCGGACTAAATATCGCCAATCTAGGACTAGAATAATTCGTTGCTACCGAATCGATAACTGGATAATAGTCTGGTTATTTCAAACTTGGTCTATATTTAAATCTAGGCAAAAAGGACAGAAATTTTTCAATTGGAATTCGAGCAGAACTGTAAAAAAATATTCAGTACATTTAGGTTTTAATTGGTCACTTTAATCGAATAACGCGTAGTTGAAGCGCTGTCAGTTTCACCGAGTTTCATTTGAGTATGACTCACGGAATTTGCTGCCACACGATACGTTTGTACCAATTTATATGTATTTTTATATGTTTTGTTTAGCGATTATTTAGCGCAATGCATTCGGCAATGCATTATACCGTGATAAGGTAATTTCCTCCTCAATAGGCGACTAGTATGCGGCCATATGAAATGGTTATCGGCGATCGGTTACGCCAGTACCGCCAGACTCATAGCTCACACAATATAGTTCTGTCCATATTACGGTATCTTCTCTGATAAGCATCAATACCTTTTCTTCAAACAGGCAGGTAGATTTAAACAGAAGCAGTCCTGGCCTAAAGGATAAGCGCCCAGTGCATTTGTACCTATCGATGCAACGGTGTTCGAACCGCGCAGGCAAGTTACCAATTTTTCTAATGAAATATGTACTTAGCAAATGCTTACGAATGACTTCCATGATGAAGGAGTACCATCATGTAGTAAAACCTGAAACATTAAAGTGTTTCGGTTTGAGGGACGGGGCAGCCTCTGTACTATAAAACTGACATTTAGAACTCATGTCTTAAGGTGGGTGACGGTAATTACGTTGTTGAAATCTATGGGCTCCGGTAACCATTTAGCACTAACACTAGGTGTGCCCTGAGTTCGTCCACCCATCTAAACATTAAAGAAAAAGTATCTATAAAATGGTCTTCTTACATATACGAAATCTGGACTATATTGAAGGTGTTACAGTAATTTAAAGTAGCCATCCCAGTCCGGAGTAGCCGGAATAGTCCCTCGTGGCTACCGGCGATTAAGTATGAAAAAAACTGGTAATACATCAATGTCTTATACCCTCTCCACCTATACCACGTATACGATACGCCACTATGAAACTAGTACAAGTAACCAATGTTGTTTTGGGTCCCATTTCGGTGTGGTTAGAAATCGATTTCCATTATGTCTAGAAAATTCATTTATATTACTTGGGCTTTTTATTAGCTCTACCAGCATTGAATAGGTCGGAAATGTGCTCGCGTGAACTTCGTTTATATTTTAACATCTCAATTTTATAACAAACGTTGTACAAATTCAAAATATAAATGCTATGATTCGGTAATTATGAACATGTTTTGAGTTCTTTAATTTATTCAAGACTGAAAACATTGAGTCTTGAAAACATGTTCCGCAAAACATTGCGGTTTGATTTGAAATAATGAAAATCGAAAGGCAAAACGCTTTTATCATTACACACTTATGTACTGCCACTGACATTATGCAACAGACCCATCGTGTGTCATAGTAACCTTCCTTGATCCATTTGCAACGAATTTTAACACATTGTGTGATAATACATTAATGTGATATTGAAATTCTGACGCTTCGTTGTCTCTACTGCCTGTTGTTTGAAATACACCCAGCCAAACTGATTCATTATTTATTATTTTTCAATTACGTGTAAAGTACTGTTCTCTGAGCCATTTGCAGTGTATAAATCGAAGAACGAGCGGTTATTACGTGCGCTAATCAACTACATACTTTGTAATGTTAGTGAATTTTACATAAATTAAACATAATAGTTATTTGTGTTAAATAAATGAATTCAGTGTTTTCTTCGGTTTTTGCGAGGAGTATACAATTGTTTTTTTTTGTTGTCTTTATATTATTTCTCACGTTTCGAATACTTTATATTTTAGTGGTCACGAACGACTATCATTTTGTCATATGAACGAATGATCTCTCGATATTTTGTAAAAATAACGTAAACGTTTTTGAATAATCTATACATATAAATAAAATTGGAGTGTCTGTTTGTAATATTGAAATAACCTCTTTTTACTACATGCATATATACGATACACACACCAAAATAACATTTTTTACAATTTTTGTCTGTCTGTCTGATTGTTCCGGCTAATCTCTGGAACGGCAGGACCGATTTTGACGGAACTTTCACTGATAGGTAGCGGATGATATAAGGAGTAAATTAGGCTACTTTTTTAAGACTAGCTTCGCCCCGCGGCTTCACCCGCGGTACGACAATAACCGCGGGTAGCATCATCGATAATAAAATGTAATGTTTCCGAAGCGAAGCGAGAGCGGGTCGCTAGTTATAAATAAATTCACTAAAGAAGATGCGGGAACTTGAACTTCACGAATTCAGCGAAGTCGTCACCAAAGACGTAAGTCACAACGTAAATGGCAATGGAAAGAAAAGTTAGTGATTCACCCTCGTTGGGCCTACAACTCATCGTATAACCACTAAAGAAACACAATTTTTTGTATAATAAATATGTTTTTGTTATCTACCAGTAATGGAATATTCGAAACTAAAGGAGAGGATCCAATTATTTACCAGCAATGGAATCAAAACTAAAGGAGAGGATCCAAGCGTTATCTTTTAAAACCATTTTAAAACACTTAACTCGTGATAACCTTTAAAGGCAAACATAGATACTCGTGTAAGACTATAAGTGAAGGTCGTCAATAGACAAAGCCGTTTCACAATTAGCAGCAGAATCTAAGCAAATACAGCTGCGGTGGAATGCGTTACCTTGAGGAAATGGTGTGTTATTTACATTAAGATAATTTATTACTCGCGTTTTCTTTGGCGATATGACTTGACGACTGTGTACGTGAAATTGTAAGAATGCGACAAAGGGAAGATCTTCCACCGAGCGGGTGATATTGCTCGGTAGACCGACGGTCCGAATGTTGTTGTTCGGAACTTGTATATGAGTCGTCTATTATCAAAGGTGGCAATCTGTGCATTTGGACAAAAAAAAATTATTGATATGTCAATACAGATTGATTTGAATATAATCGTCTCCTTCAAAGAATACGGTTCAAAACCTGCATTAAATAAAGGTTAATAGTTAACCTGTTATTTATCTAAGATGTCGTTCCGAAGAGTTTTGTGACTGCCAATGGAATACAAAGTCAATAATTCGTTTTTCTGATTTACCAATCATTGTCCAAAAGTCAGATTGCCGGCTTTGATAATAGTCGACTCATATATCTTTTCTTCTGGGGCCGCGTATCCTCTTTTTCGCCGATGTTGTAGGTGGCACTGGTTTAAATAATGGTGCCGAATTCAGTGTAGCGTCTACGACCGTAGGAGGGTCCGGTGATTTTTCGCGGCTCTTCCGCCTGTCCGCCGCTAGCGGTGGTCGCATTCGCGGCTCCGGTAGAAGCCGTCCCGCCAGCCCCGCAAAGCGAGCGTCGAGCATCGTGCCGACAGCTCGCATAATGCGCTGGAGGCGCAACTCCTCCTCTTCTTCTTCGGTGTTTGGGGCCGGGGCTGCGGCTGGTGCATTTCCTAGTACCTGCGAGACCGTAGCCAGCTCCCTCCTAATTTCATCAAGCTCCTTGCGAAGCTGTAGGATCTCCTGCTCCTGCTTGGCGTTGATCGCACGCAGTCTTTCAGCCTCTTCAGTTGCGGTGCGGCCCACAAGGTCCTCCGTGGCCTCCTTGACGGTAGCCGCCAACTCCTTCAATGCACGCACATACAGTGCCCTTCGGGCTACTAGATTTGGCGGACCGTCAGAGCCACCTCAGCACTTGATTGAGCCTACGCTCGGACAGGCTTAGGGACAGATCCCTCAGCCCTCTCTTCTTCTGGCGCGTGGTGCGCGCGCTCTCTGTGAACTCCCTCTCCTCTCTTTGGGCCCTAAGGCACGCCTTCCTGGCAGCAGCCATGCCAACGCACTGCCTCGTGGTCGGAGGGCGTCCCCTTCCACGCTTTGATGGCGTCACGGCTCTGGGCTTCGCAACTGACGGGCCCTGA